GTCATGAGAAGAATGCACTAAATGCAGCGACAACAAGAAAAAAAAACTTTTTCATTAAAAGTATTACATTTGGGCCGGGTAAAATATAACGAGGGCTGGATCTGGCCCACGCACCTTAAGTTTGTCACATGTGGTCTACCTCGTTGTGACAGGAGATCATAAAAAGTGAATGTATTTTAAGTTTAATACAAACATTATTGTCAGAGAAACGATAAATTAAAAAAATAAAACACTTTGCAGCGGGTGTTTGACGTGTCTAATGTTTTGCTGTTGCCACGTTGTGATAAGAATCTTCTGTTACTTTCAGATGATGGTTGAACTAAGCAGTGTTGCAGTCAGCCATGCTTTTATATTCGAAGCCACAAAGTTATATAAAAGAGCTGTAATAAAATAATCCCTTCAGGATTACAGCAGCTGTTYTGCTGCACTGTTGGTTTTACTGTGTGATCTGTGTAAGTTAAAATCTTTAACTTGTTGGAAGGAAGAAAACAGAACRGAGATGACAGAAAAGTGGATTTCTTTTTGCAGAAGTGAACTAATGTTCGTCAGTAACTGATGACACGTCAGTGTGACATTTATTGAAGTGGTGCTCAGTTTTGAGGCATCAGCCGGTGACTCAGTGTCTGCTGGTGTGTTAGTGTTTCACCTGTGTGTGTGGCAGATCACTTCCTGGTCCAGCAAAGAGACAGCTCACTGCTAACAATGCCTCTAATGAAAGGATTGTGTAATCACTTAAATGCTGTTATTTCTTTTGCCCTGGATTAAATCCCACTCACAGTCCAGGACTCTCAGTTTCAGCAGAGTGGGTTAGAGGGGGTCTCTTGCTCTCTCTGTGCCCTCGGTCCTCCTCTCCACGAGGCTAAATCTCTCCTCGTGTCGACTTAAGTGATGCAAAAAGTCATCAGTCGCTGACACGTGCTTGTTTTCTGCTTTATCCTCAGATGAACCTTATCTCCAGTACAGACGCAACGTGTTTTATCCGAAAGCAAGAGAGCTGCAGGTATTTTATTWTATTTTTCTTACATACAAGTGAATTTTAATGACGGGGTTATTCATCGCTGTTCTGACGTTCCTGACTCACAAAAATTAAATGTACTTTAATAGTGGCTGTAGCTAAAATTCATGTTCTTCAGAGAGTATTTTTTGTTGTTTTTTTGAGCTCGGACCAGAGTCATTTTTCAAAACCTTTTTATGGGTTTTATTATGAAAAATAATTAAATGTATAAAAGCTATTAAAATAGTAGTTTGGGCATTTTAAAGTGTAGCTCTGTGGAGACATTATAAAAGTATCTTACCTGTTGTAGATACAGTTGTGGTCAAAAGTTTACATACACTTGTAAAGAAACATAATGTTATGGCTGTCTTGAGTTTTCAATAAGTTCTACAACTCTTATTT